ATCATCACAAACGCTGTTTGCTGAGCATGGCCAGCATGGCCAAAGTACAAAACTGGGATGGTGTCCCATCCCACCAGCCTGTGGCATATGGACACACAGCTGTGAGACCCTTTCATGAGAATAAAGGAGTCCTGAGGCTGGACAGAGTGCTCAGTGGTTAAGAGTGAACTCTGCTCTTCCAGACCTGAGCTTGGTTCTCACTATCCTCTCCAGCTTCAGGGATCTGACACCTTCTTCTGTCCTAGCTGTGAGACCCTTTCATGAGAATAAAGGAGTCCTGAGGCTGGACAGAATGCTCAGTGGTTAAGGGTGCACTCTGCTCTTCCAGACCTGAGCTTGGTTCTCACTATCCTCTCCAGCTTCAGGGATCTGACACCTTCTTCTGTCCTCTGAGGGTACTTGCACACACATGTAAAATACGCTTACACACACACACACACACACACACACACACACACACACACACACACACACACACACACACACACATACACCCACACACACGGAGAAGAGAGAGAGAGAGAGAGAGAGATCTCAATGTATACATGGAACACTATACAAGTGGAACACAGTTGAGGAAAATACTGATATCAACCTCTGACCTCCACTTGTACACACACACACACACACACACACACACACACACACACACACACGTACATCCACACATACATATATGTTTGTCTTGAGCCCTTACCAGGTTTTGACCTAGGAGGAATGATAGACTCAGCAAGTTGGTTTTGAATATATAAGTTTTACTTCACACTTATATCAAAGTAACACACACAAGCATAAACAAACAATCCTAAGAACCACAGATAATAGGCTCATAGCAGGGGGTACCTCTCCTGCAGTGGCATGTTCAGCTCAGACTTCTATTCCTCTGAATTCAGGCGGTGGAGTCTCCTAAGGGTTTCAGCTCTCAGCTTGATGGGCTGGTTGTTTCAGGTTAGCGGAGGAGAGCTCCAGGACATAGAATCATGGTGTACCCTAAAATTTCCAGTTGTGAGCTGGTCCCATAGATAGCTTGCTAAATCTTGCTAATCACACTTTGCCACACACCACACATCCTCACTCTTATCTCCAATGGCTGGGCAGTGGGCCCACACTCCCTTTCTTTTAATCTTTCTCCAGCCAGGCCTTTGCCTGCCTGGTTGTAAACTTTTGTCTTAATCTCCCTTCAGCCAGGCCTTTGCCTGCCTGGTTACAGGCTCCTTACAATGTTTTTTTGTTTTGTTTTGTTTTGGTTTTGGTTTTTTTTTTTTTTTTTTTTTTGGTTTTTCGAGACAGGGTTTCTCTGTGTAGCTTTGGAGCCTATCCTGGCACTCGCTCTGGAGACCAGGCTGGCCTCAAACTCACAGAGATTCGCCTGCCTCTGCCTTCTGAGTGCTGGAATTAAAGGTATCACTAACCAGCAAAAAAAAAAAAAAAAAAAAAAAATCTTTTAAAGGGCACTAAAAAAAAATCTGGTGAATGGAGACTTTTCTGCCAGCCTCAATGTTACTTGAAACCACTGACCACCACCTTTACTCCAGGCCCCTCCTGGATGCTCTGCTCCTTCGTCAGAACCCCACCCACCTCCTAGCTTTCTCTCTAGTCTCTCATATCCTCCAGAAATGTAGCCCTGGCAGCTCAAGCTTCCTTGCCTCCTGCCTAGGTGGTGACCATAAAAGCCTCCATAAAAGTCCTTCCTCTAGTCTCCCTGCCCACGACTGCCCTCAAATGAATATCCATCATGTCTGTTCCAACTCACACTGGAGCTGGTGACGAAGTCATGTGAGGGGGCACTGAGGTGCCAAGCAAAGGGGAGATGGCAGCATCCGAGGAGCTTGAATTCCCTTTATAGATGAGGAAGATAGGTCTCAAGGAAGATGTACTACCTGGAGATGGTCAGTCGTACCTGTGGTCTTAGCTAAGACAGGAGTGCTGTGCTTTAAAGGCTACCCTCAGATACAGAATGACTGGGGAGGCAGTGACAGGCGGGTCTCTGTGAGTTTGAGGCCAGCCTGGCCTACAGAGTGTTCAGGATGGCTAGGGAGGTTATACAGAGAAACTGTCTAACCAAAGAACCAAAAACAGACAAACAAAACAGAAAACAGAGAGACACTGTCTCAAAAAAAAAGAAAGAAAGAAAGAAAGAAAGAAAGAAAGAAAGAAAGAAAGGAAAAGAAAGGGAAGGGAAGGGAAGGGAAGGGAAGGGAAGGGAAGGGAAGGGAAGGGGAAAAGGGGGTTCCAGAGATAGCTTGTTAATAGGAACACAGCTGCTCTTGCAGAAGACTGTATTTAGGTTCCCAGCACCCACATCAAGGGGCTCACACTGTCTGTAACTCAGCTCCAAGGGATCCAAGCTCTTTCTGGCCTCCATGGGCTCTTGCATGAACATGTGCATACAAACCAATATATACATTAGTTTGAGAAAGAGTTTGAAAAAAAGAATTTAAAGAGAAAAGGGCTTGTTGGAGATGGCTGTCAATAGTGCCTATTGCCAGAAGGTGAAGACCTGAGTTCTATGCCCATCACCCATTTTAAGCCAGCTCTGGCAGCGCACACCTATAATGCCAGGTCTGGGCAAGTGGGACAGGAGTGTCAGTCTAGCCACCCAGAGAGGTTGAGTTGAGTGACAGGCTCTTTGGGAAAATAGAGAGCAATAGAGGAAGACACTCAACATCAACCTCTGGCCTCCACGAGAGTTCATACATGCCTGCATGCTAACTGCTTGCACATTTCCTCTAATTTGTGGGTGTGCATACACACAACACACACACACACACTCACCACAACTACTATTTACACCCACACTCATTTGTTTTTTTTGTTTTTGTTTTTAAAGATGATCGGCTTGCAGATAGCAGGAAGTGGAAGAGTCTTCTGGGTTCAGGCCCACATCTGCATAAAGTGACCTCAGCCTCCTCAGCTGCTGTGATTGCCTAACTTCTCCCAAACCCCCTCACCCCCACCCCAAATGTCTAGTGAGATCAAACCTCTAGGCCTCCTTTTACTTGTTTCCCCTGCTGGGAACAATGCTCTCCCACTCAACAAACTTGCACTTGCCATTTCAAGGCCCAGGGCAAGCATCTTGGTTAAACATCTCCTTTGCACCATACATCTTCCCTTCTTCCTTGGGTGCTGCTTGACCTGGGGCCACTGATAGGATTCTCTTGATGGGGCAAGTCCTTCTGTGTATGTTTATCTTATTGGTTGTTGAATAAAGCACTGCTCAGCCAACGAGGCAGCAAGTTAGGCAGGACTAGGAGTCAAGAAGGATTCTGGGAAATACAGTAAAGTCTTGTGATCCAGGCAGGAAGTGACATAGGAGGCAGACTCAGAATATAAGCAGGGACAAGCAGGAAGTCATTCTCTTCCTCTTCCTCTCTCCTCTGGGAGCCGCCATGTGAGCTCGACAAGAGAGGACACATGCCACTGTCGTCCTCGATCAGGCAAGTCTTAATAGAGTAAGAAATCCTAGTCATTGGCCAGCAGCACTGCACCTAATATAAGTCTCTGTGTGTTATTTGGGACCCAAAAGTGTCAGGGTGGAATTCAGGCGGCTGGCAATAAGACTTATCGTTACATTCTCTATTTCTTTTTCTTTTTGGTTTTTCAAGACAGGGTTTGGAGCTTTGGAGCCTGTCTTGGAACTTGCTCTGCAGGCAAGGCTGGCCTGAAACTCAGAGATCTGCCTGTCTCTGTCTCCTTAGTGCTGGGATTAAAGGCATGGGCCACCACTGCCTAGTCCACTCACAGGATTCTCATGCTGTTGATAGAACCCAGGACCTCATATTCTGGGCAGGAGCTCTACCACTGAGTCACAGCGTGTTCTAATATGGGATCAACCACTTCCTCACCTGAGTCTTTCCCCTTGACAAGCATGTTCAGGTGCCTGGCTACAATAAAGGTTCAGAGATTGGGTTTGTGGAGCAGAAACTTGTTTAGTTGCATTGGTAGGCACCAAGGTAAACATCCACAAAATGGGGATTATGAGCACTAACTAGCCTTGCTGGGGTGTCATGGCTCAACACAGGTGAACTTAGCCTTGTATCCATTTACACTCATATTTAGTCCTGACAGTTCTTGGAAGTGGACATCAACAACCTCACCCTGTTCAAGAGGTATCTAAGATGGTGTCCAGGGTTACAGCGTGGGCCACCTGGTTCTCTGGAATTCCGCTCTGGGCACCCTGCTCCACCTCTGCTCAGCATACCTCTGAGCCCCACCTTTATGTTTGCTGCGTGAGTGGCAATGACTCACCAGGTGCCATGGCTGCCCTCAGTCTGAGGAAAACTTCCTGATGTTTGTTTATCCTGATTAATTAACTGTATAGCCGATGTGTCCTCTGACCTCAACTTAATATTACTTCCCTCCCATCAGCCACTGTTCCTTCCCTGGAACATCCACAGAAGAGTAAGTGACAAGGTTGGAGAAGAGCAGGGCCGGTTCTGTTGTAACTGTTTTAGGTTTTAGCTTTTGTGCTTTGATGAGACAGGGTCTCCTCATCTGCACTCCAGGCTCATACCATTGGGCACTTGTCACAACACACCTTGCTTTGATTATGGTTGTTGTTTAATAACGTGACTTTCATATATATAAACATTTCACCTCTAGATAAATTAAGCCAAATTAGGGGGTGGAGCACTAACTCATTAAAATTGATGAGACAGCCACACAATAGATGATTTCAAGTCATGTTTGAGCTCTGTTCTGACAACACACCCAAATACATCCTTAGAACAAGGAAATAGATTTTTAAATTATTTACTCTCTCTATATATTTATTTATCTTCAAGATCTCACTATGAAGTCCTGGCTATCCTGGAACTATGCAGACCAGGCTGGCCTCAACCTCAGAGATCTGCCTGCCTCTGCCTCCTGAGTGCCCCCTGAATGTACCACATGACAACAGATTACAATGGCCCTGGCCACAGCTGCCTCCGAAGTTAATGGTTTCCCTCCAATGTGCTGTCCCAAGCAGAAACCCCAAGAGCAAAGAGGTGGACAAAGGGTGGCCTACATCACTTTGTCCTTTTCTACTTTATTACTTCAAATTAACAACCACAATAAAGCTCAAAAAAGTCCAATATTTACACAGGAAAAAAGTACAAAATTCCCCCCAAAGTTCTTCAGTAATTTTTTTTCAGTTTTTTAAATTACAAAGTAATAAAAAGTTTTGCTCTTTAATTAAAAAAAAAAGGGAAAAAGAGGTAAATAAATTAGGAAATACACACACCGAGAAAACAAACAAAAATAAAATAAAATTAAAAATCAGGTGTTAACCAGGAAGGGTAAATTCAACACTTAACCCTGACCCAGGGTCCTACTCAGAAGTCAGGCCTGGGAAGAGGGGTGACCACAGGTGACTGTCAGGACCAGGGAACTAAATGGTAAGTCAGAGCCGATGCCATCTGGGAACAGACTCTGTGAACTTGCCTAAGATCAGGTATGGAAGAAAGATGGGGTTGCCACACACTGGCATCTGGGGACAGGTGGTGGCAAGGACTCTATGCCCTGAGGGATGTGGAGGTCATTGTCCACCCCACCTTGACTTTAGGGGGACGAGAACAGAAACTTGGCCAGGAAGGATGGCAGGCCACCTGCTGCTCTGGAAAATACAAGTTTCTCTCTCTCTCTCTCTCTCTCTCTCTCTCTCTCTCTCTCTCACACACACACACACACACACACACACACTCACACTCACACATGCACAAGGCATCATGGCCACCAGCTCACCGCCTCCTCAAGGTCTCTGCAGAGAGGTGACGGGAGGGGAGAAAGGGGGACCAGGATGCTTAGGGGAACTCTGGGAAAGCCCAACACCAAGCTGGCCACTGTCACTGCCAAGGGGCTGCAGTTGTGCGTGTCTCCTTGGATCCGAGGCTCACAAAATCTCATGGGACTTGTCTGTGACTGGCAAACCACTCCCTGATGCAAGCTCTTCAGGCACCTCCATCGGCTGCCCTGCATGTGGTGGGTGATGGTGGGAACAGGGGGCTGGAGTATGACCCAATGTCATTAGAGGAGTGTTGGCAGCCTTCATGTTGGGAGCAGTGGGCAAGGTGAGGGGACAGGAATCCTCAGTAATAAAGACAATCTTGTCTTTTTGCCATTGGAAAAGTAAATCAAAGAAACAAAATCCATTGTCGACTCTGTGCTGGGTTGTGTTTTTTTTTTCCTTTTTGTTCATTTGAGTGGTTGCTTCTTTCTTTCTGTCCTTTGTTTTATTTCATTAAGAAAATGCAGTGAAGACACTAGGAAAGGAAACAAAGACAACAGGTCAGAGGTCTGGCTGCCTTAGTCTACCCAGCCACCAGACCCCTTCCTTGTCCCACTTGGAGCCCAGAGTCTGGTTTCAGGCCCAGCACACAGTATTCCATCACCCCAAGAGGGGGAAAGCAAAGTGCTGCTCTGTCTTGGTGGGCTAAGCAGCCATCCCAGCCACCTCACAGCCAGAACAGACTAGTTGTCTGTAGGAGGCCAGAACAGACTAGTTGTCTGTAGGAGAATTTCTGCAATGTGACTTCTGTTTCAGGTAACTGCTGTGAAGCCAGACTCTTAGTGGGTGAGCCACTGCTTGATGACATCCTCTTTCTTCAGGAGGCCCAGTCAATATGTATCAGAAGAGCCTGTAGCCCCTTCACCCAAACCAGGCTAATGGGTATTTCACTACTTACTGCCTCCCAAGCCTCAGGCAGTCTAACCCTAACTCATCTTGGCCAGAGGGCCTTTCCTGGGTATAAAAGCACCAAGGCCCTTTCTACATTCTGGCCTCTTTATGGCTTTGCACAAATTAGCTTATACACCAACCAAAAAGCAAAATTACGCTAAAGCCTAGGAAGTCCACTTGTGGTTGGTCCCTTGGTCTCTCCTAGGAGCCACAAGGACAGAAGAACCAAGGGCAGGAAAAGGGTTTCCTAGAAGTTAGAGTATCCAGATTCAGGACTGTCTGTAAGAAGCCACAGCCTGGAAGGCAGGAAGGGGAGGCCCATGGTGCCACTCGCCACTTCCTCTACTCCATGTACCACTTGTTTCCCTCTCCCCCTAGTGACCCCAGAAGACACCAGCACTCACCTAAGCAAACACTGGTTGGTGGTGGCTCTCCTCATTTCCCGAGATGGTCAAATGGCACGCTTGTCTTCAAGAGGGGCCAGAGAGATAAAGGGGAAGAATCAGGTCAAGGACTTAAGCAGCTGGCTAAAGTGATTTCCCAAGTCTGCCCATCCCTACCTTGAGCCCCATCCATCACAGCACAGCATTCAATCTGAAGGCAGGCTGTATGATCTCAGGGGTCAGACCAGGCTGGCCTTGAACTCAGAGATCCACCTGCCTCTACCTCCCGAGTGCTGGGATTAAAGGTGTGTGCCACCACTGCCCAGGGCCCCTAGCTTTATAGCTGGAGTACTCCAGGTAGCAAAGGGACCACTGCAGGCCACACCCAAATGGGAGCCCAAAGGCTCAACCCTAGGTCTGGATCTACAGAGGCTCATCTCCCACAGGCAGGAGGGGTAGATCTACCTCTGCCAAGGCCTTTCCCCTACATTCTGAGTCTAAATGTGGCCATTAAATGGGGTCACCTGACAGGGCTCCCCCTTCCTCCCGCATCCCTTGCTGTGATGGGAACTACTGAGGGCTTCCTCATAGCAGGGAGTGCAACGACTTGTTTCTGAGGCCCCTGTCACCCACCAAACTGGATCCTGGCAGTGAGTGCTACTGCTTACTGGGTCAAGTTATTTCTCTGAGCCTCAGTTTCTCACTTTGCTCAAGGAAGTAGAGCCAATTAACTCTAGGGTGGTGAGAGTAAAGGGGGGAGAGGCACAAGGTAGACCAATACCAGGAAGAGCTAGACACTCTATGTCCTGGAGAGGCTCACCTGTGAGGCTGAAATCCGGGAGACCTCTTGCCGTCCAGTGAGGTCTGAGGAGGAGACATTGGCCGGTGCACCTCTGTGGAGGCGCATGCTCACCTTCCTCTCCCGGTCGGCCCGTGAGATCGCTCTGGGAGAAGTATTGCCTGGAGGGAGGGCAGCAGCCACCCTCAGTGTGGGAACAAGCAGTCCCCTAACCCTCCCTGGTCCCAGCCCGAGGCTCAAAGGACCCTACTGACCAGCTTGTTGGATGCGAGAGGCAGGGGTAGAAGCCACAGGCTCGGCTGCACTTCGGAGTCGATTGGCAGTAGCCCCCGTAGGTGGGCCAGGGGGCAGGGCTCTGGTCGCAGACCCCCGCAACTGCCCCATCCTCTCTTCCCGTTCGTGTTCTCGTCGCTCCCGGTCTACGTCCTCGGGATTCCGGGCTGCACCCTATAAGAACATGAGAGAAAATTCGAGTCAGCCCTGTGAGGATGCTATACAGCACCCAGAACCCTAGCAGGACAGAGAAGGGGAAGAAGTGTATGAAACGCTCAGAAAACTAATTCCACCTTCCTTCCCATACTCTAAGAAGGCTGGAGCTTACCCTCTACCACAGTGCTTAGGGACCAAGACACCCAACACCCAGAAGAGGAAGCTGCCAGAGGGAAAACAGAGACCCCTCAGCTAGACCAGGCTGATATCTCCAGGACAAACAAGGGTAGCTCTTGGTCCTTCCCTCTGTGTTCCCAACCAAGCAGGAAGGGCATTCAGAAGCCCAACTACCTGACAGACAGGCCATAGCTAGAGAAGAAAGGGCAGGTTCAGAGTCACAACTCCAATGAAAGCAGAGACAGGACTGTCCCAAGGTCTCCTGGTACACAATCACAGGGCCAATCCCTGGCTCCCAGACCTGACCATTACTCCTACTATGGGGTAACAGCCAAGAGACTTAGGGGACCCCATAAATGCTGTTGCCTGGAAGCCCAGGGGATAAAAGAAGTCAGGATAGATGTTCCATGGAGCAAAGAGGCCCTCAGGCAAAGCCAGAGAAGGTATCTTGAGTCCCAAGGGTCTGTCCGCTAAGCTGACACCCCAAGTACAAGAGGAAGGGAGCAAGGACCAGAAAGAAACGCAGAGTAGGAGCAGAGCCTGGCTGAGTTACCTAGCTGGTCCTGAGGCCGTCCAGAGGGAAGGGCAGGGGGCTGGCGGAAGGGGGGCCGCATCTGTGGAGGAGAGAGCTATAGGCTGAGATGGGCGCGTGCTCATGGGCCATGGGGTACGGGCTCTGCAAACTCATGTCTTTATAGGTACTAAAAAGCCCAACGCTCTGGGAGTGGGGAGAGAGCTGTCTTCCCGGACCCCTGGAGGGAGTGGCTTGATTCAGAATGATCCCTGAATCCTAATGAGGTAGTCAAACCAGCACGTACATCCCATGTCACCCCCATTGCTCTGGGGCCCCCTATGAAGTGGAAGTGCTGACATTTTTTGTCCTTACTCGGCCTGGCCAGAGGCCTTGTGACCTGGCTGGAGTTACATAGCCAATAAGAAGCTGGGGCTAAACATGGTCTGGCCAATGAGTCCCATTTTGTCCCACAAAAAGACACCGTTCAGAGACCTGCCTTGGACATTTCCTAGTCCTCCACTCAGAAACCAGGGCTTAGGACTGCTAGAGTTCCACCCACTCACTGGCTGCCTGGTTCAGCTGGAACACAGCCCAACCTGAGAGAAACAAGGGCTGTTGCACTCAACAGTCCCTCCTGTTATTGTGGTAGCAATAATTTTAGCTTCTTGCTAAACGAGAAACTGAGGCTTGGTGAGGCTTAGAGCCTCACCTAGGGGTGCAGAGCCATCAATAGCCAGGCTGGGGTCTCAGCAGCTCCACCAGGCTCAGGCCAGACCTGGTCCCTCACCCTGTTTCCATCTACCCAATGTGATGGACGCATCAAGAAATGCATACCAGAGTGTTTTCATGGCCTTTATTTGCCCATAAGAAAACAGTCAGTGTCAAAGTCACACAGGTGTCTGGCTTTGTCCTTGGCTGTATGGCGTCTCCTCCTGGCTAGAACAGTGGCTGTGTTCTCCGAGACATCCCAGGATTCAAGCATCTGGGGAATTCCAGTCCCCTGGGGTGGAACATGGAAGGTCATTCCAAGGTCAAGTGGGTCTTTCCAGTCTGTTGCTCACGGAGCCCTGTCTGCAGAGTACTGGTGACAGCTTGCTTATTGCAGGGCAGGTGGGAAGGGCTGGTCTTGGAGTGATGGCTGTGAAAATTTCTGATGTATGTTCTGTAAATGTTCTTGGAAATGGAACTGGGCATGTAGTGACAGGGTCACACATGGTAGAGGCAAAGGCTGTCCACCTTTGACCTCTAGAGTCTACCTCCAAGGAGAGGATCAGGTTACCAGCAATAGGGCATGGAGGGCACATCTGGCCAAGTTTGAAATTTTTCAGCTGGCCAGTCACACAAGGGGCATTATGAAGGAAGCATCTACATCAGCTGTCCACAGAACCTCCCGGAATGACCAATGTTCACATTTGCCACACTGGAGGTAGCAGCCACTTGTGGCTTTCTGAATGCAATCTGGTGGATGACTAAGAAGTCAGCGTCCATCTCCAATAATTTTAGTGAATGAAAAAGTCAGCACTACATGGTGAGAGGCTACTAGAGTGGGCTGCACTGGTCAGGAGAACACAAAATCCATTCTTCAAGCTTTACTGAGAAGGGACACAAGCCCATTCCCAGACTGGATTCAGCTGGTTTTCTGTAGCATATGTCTAGTACCCAACACTCTGGAAGCCTTGACAAGAAGAGCTAGACCCATGACCAGGCCCTTGACCAACATGCTCTGAGTTGGAAGGAGTTCCACTGTCCACTTTTTGCTCCAGTCCCAGAGATAAAGTCACAGGTTTGTCCCCAAGGTCCCTGGCCTGTGAGGCTTCCTTAAAGAACAGGCCCAGGCCACTGAGTATGGCCCAGAGAAAAGAGGACCCCAAAATTATTGTGCTCATCTCGGTGTCCAGAGTACAAGGCCTACGTTCATTCTTGACACTGGATAGAGCAGGCCAAGGGCCACTCTGTGAAAAGAGAGGCACACGAGGATGAAGGGAAAGAAGTATTTAATGAGCTCAGAATCGATACATAGGCCAACGATGAGGCTGAGATGGAGCAGGGTCCTGTGATGTGCCACCAAGTCCCTCCCAGGCAGCGTAAATATCCCTTCTTCAGGCTTGTTCTAGCCCTCAGGCAGCTGGATCATTCTTGAGAATCCCATGCAGGGCCTTTTCTGTCACCCTCTCCACTGAACAGCCACCTCTCTGGAACAGGGTCTCACCCTGCCATCCCACAGGGTGCTTCCTCAAGCTTGGCTGAGATGGGCTGAGACAGCCCTGGCGGTGTCAGAACTGGGGCCCTGATGTCCAAACCACAGGCCAGTATCTTTGGGGAGGCAGTTGCTCCACCTCCTCCACCGGCCTATCTGGGGGTCCTTGGGTGCCCAGGGGCGCCGGGCACCTGAAAAGGACAGAGAGAGCACAGCTGAGGCTAGGTCCTCATGCTCACTGGCTAAGCCGCAAATCTTGGAAAGGCCAGGCCTTGAAAGGTCCTTACCAGTAAGTGGGTGAGTACGTGGGCCCAGCACAAGGCCAAGGGCGGGGGCAGGGTGACGCAAGAGCTTCCTTGTCGCGGGGCTGAGCCTGGCTCGAGGAAGCCCCCTTTTCCAGAGGAGATGTGAAACAAGACATACAATTTCACGGATTCCAGTGCTTGTCATTCCAGTGCTTGTCACCATGACTGGTGAATGCTTCTCCCTCACCCACCCCTAGGACCCTTAAAAGAGGGAGACAGAACAACTGCCTAGGAAGACCCAGGGTCCTAGAATCAGAAACAAAGAAGCCACTATGACCGGGTTCAAGCTGGCCATGGAGGCCTCAGAAAGGGCCGCAGTCTGGGATACACATAAGAGGAGCAGGAAAGTACAGACAGCTATCAGGACAGCAGGGGGTCCAGCCAGTGCTATCCATGCACCACAGGTACACAAGAGGGACTGCAGGCCAGGCCTCATCCTTTCCCACCTAGCAGGTGGTGGTGCCTTCCCTGGGTCCTGCCCCCAATGGAGGCGTACCCTACCTATACCAAAGTAGCTGGAGGCGAGGGGTTCTGGGACCCCTGCAAGGTCACTCACACTGTCCAGCTCATACTTCCCGTTTAACGGGAGCCCCGCCCCCCACCATGTCACTCTGGCCTTATGAGTCAGGGCCTGCCCTGTCCAGTCCCCCAAGCCCGCCTTGGCCTGCCGGTGACTCACGAATTTGAGCATGTTCCAGTCGAAGACGTAGTCGTAGGAGAACCCCTGCCGGTGAAAGAGATTTCGGAAGAGCTGGCGCAGGTAGGAGTAGTCGGGCTTGTCATCGAACCGCAGGGAGCGGCAGAAGTTGAGGTATGTTGAGAACTCAGCTGGTGGGTCACAAGGACAGAAGAGGCCACTGTGAGGATCACTTTCCCGAGAGACTCAGCAGACACCACTGTCCTAGGCACCCACTGTCCCTGCAACACTATCAATCTAAGATGGGCAGGATGAAAACTGAACTGAGCATGGCCCGCTTCCAAGCAGAGGTGCTGTGGAGCTGGGTGCACAGCTTGTCACCTGTCTAACCAAGCACCAAGGTCACAGCCACCAGGTCAACAGTTGCCATAAACTCAAAGGCCTGATGGGATGCAGAGTCCCATTATGACTTAAGTCAAAAGAGGGCAGCTTCTACTTCTTCAAACCATCGGACTGAGAGCAGACCTCAGAGATAAGGCAAGAGATGAGGCTGGGGACAACTGATATGTAAGAGACGGGTGTGGGGTGTGGGGGTTCAGGTATCCCAGCTAGCTCCTAGGCAGAAAGACTCTAGTAAGAGACAGTCATAAACATTCCAGTGTCAAGGTCAGGGGTACCCCATGGGTGGCCCCCCTGGACTTGCCCTTAGAAGGAAACGCCATGCCCGCCAGCTACTCACAGGGGTAGCCTTTGCAGAGGACCTCGATGGGCGTTGACATCTTCTTCTCACTGATCCGCTCATACTTCTGACGCTTGGTGGCGGCTTTGAGACCCTGCCAGGGCAGGGAGCCCAGGTTGAAGTACATCAGCACATAGCCCAAGCTCTCCAGGTCATCTCGACGGCTTTGCTCTGCACAGGTCAGGAGGTCAAGGGCCACAGGTGAGGGGCCAGTCAGGCTGCATTTCTCACTGTAGCCACCCCCCCTCAGTGCTCACTGGCTCTTGGACAGTCTGTTATAACTGCTGCCCCATTCTCCTCCTCCTCTAGACTTTCCAAGGCAGAGCTTTCTCATGTCTGTTCCAGCCAGTTTTTCTAGCCCAGGCGTTACTTCACTCAACAACTGTGTGTGGGCACCCACCACCTCCTTGCCTGGCCTGTTTTGTGCTTAAAGATCACACTCTAGTTTGAGACAGGGCTTCAGTCAAATCCAGCTCTGGAATTCATGCCCTTAAACAGCCATGTTAAACCTCTGGGCTTGCATTTCTCCAATGTACAAATGGGGAAACTGCCACCCACTCAAGAGGATTGCCAAGGCAGACAAAATACACACAGCTCTGCTTATCAAGGGGTCCATATGGAACAAGTCCAGACCTGGGCCAGACAGGGTGAGGCTCACCAGAAAAATCCCTGGGGTCGCCAACCCAGGTAGGGACACAGGCTCATCCTGGCCAGCGGCCACTGCATGCTTGCCCAGGCCCAGCTCACTCACCGATGCCCAGGTGGGTGTTGATAGAGGCATAGCGGGCAGTGCCAGTCAGGTTCTTGTTTTCCCGGTAGGGGATATGCTGGTGGGTGCGGGCATCACGGTACTTCTTGGCCAGGCCGAAGTCAATGATGTAGACCAAGTTGCCTTTCTTCCCCAGGCCCATGAGAAAGTTATCAGGCTTTACATCCCGGTGGATAAAATTCTTGGAGTGGATGTACTCGATGCGGCTGATCTGGGGAAGGTGAGGAGACAGCAGGTCACTCCACACAGACACAGCAAATGTACACAAGGCCACCTGCTCTGGCCAGGGAGAAAGACCTAGCCTCAGCAGGAAGCATGGTTTCAAGGAGTGGCCATGCTTCCCCAAGCAATGAGGACGGACTTTGAAGGAGCTCACGTGCTGAGAGACAGTCTTAGTAGGCATCACACGTTGACTCCCATCTCCTGGCAAGCCTCCAGCCTCAGCCTCTTGAGCACTGGGGTTTCTGACATGATCCATTACACCCCAATTCCAGATTTGGATTTTGTTGGTTTTTTAGATAGGGTTTTTACACTGTAGCCCAGACTGGCCTTGATCTTCCTGTAATTCTCCTGCCTCAGTCTCCCCAGTGTTGGGATTACAGGCATGAGCCACCACACCAGGTTCTGGTTTTATCTTTTTCTTCTTTTTTAAATGAAACAAAGTCAGTTCATTAAAAAGAGGTTTTATGGGTCTGGAGAGATGGCTCAGCAGTTAAGAGCACATATCACTCTTCCAGACAACCCAAGTTAGTTCCAGATCGGTTAGCTCACAACTGCCTGTAACTTTATCTCTAGGAGATCTGACACCTCTGGCCCCAGCAAGCACCAACACAGACACACACATATACACGTAATTAAATAACTTTTTTTGGCTTCTCAAGACAGGGTTTCTCTGTGTGGCCCAGGCTGTCCTGGAAGGATGGCCTCAAACACAGAGATGCACCTGATTCTGCTGGGACTAAAGGCATGTGCCACCACCTGGCCCACACCCAGCTTTTTAAATAAATCTTAAAAATAAAGTGAGAAGGAACCAAAGATCTCCAGTGTCAAACTTTGTACCCCTTTACATGCAAGCACTCCCATGTATACATGAGCGCGCGCGCGCACACACACACACACACACACACACACTTTTACATGCAAGCACTCCCATGTATACATGAGCGCGCGCACACACACACACACACACACACACACAAAGAAGCAGTTTTAACACAAATTTAAGCAGGGTCCTAACAGAAATAGGGTGCTCAGGGAGAGGGGGTTGTGCTGGCTAGTTTATGTCAGCTTGACACAAGCTAAAGTCATCTGAGAGGAGGAAGCCTCCACTGAGAAAAAATGCTTCCATAAAGTTGTATGAAGGCATGTAGGGCATTTTCTTACTTAGTGATCGATGGGGAGGGCCCAGTCCATTGTGGGTGGTGACATCTCTGGGCTGGGGGTACTCAGTTTTATAAGAAAGCAGGCTGAGCAAGCCATGAGGAGCAAGCTAGTAAGCAGCACCCTCCATGGGCTCTGCATCAGCTTCTGCTTTCAGGTTCTCGCCAGGTTTGAGTTCTTGCCATGGCTTCCTTCAGTGGACTGACCCAGGATATGTAAACCAAATGGACCCTTTCCTCCCCAACTTGTTTTTGATCATCACATAGATAGTAACCCTAACTAAGACAGGTGGACATACCAAAGAGGGAGAGTGGTCTTAAACCTTTCCTCTGTTCATCATCAAGGGCTGCAGGACCTGACACCTGCTCTACTCTCAGTCCCTGAATTGCACAGCACCCCACTAATCCCCATGACAACCTGGCAAAGGGAAAACCAGGTGGCTGAAGCCCTCAGGTGAGGCACTGGGACAGAGGATGACAACCGTGCAGGGCAGCAGCCCAAGGCCCTCAAGGAAGGTGACTCAGCATGTATGCAGTTTAAATGACAAATACCTTCCTGACCATTATGGACTCGTTCTCTGGATCCACAAGCCCAAATCAATTCTTTCTTCCATAAGTTGCTTTTGGTCACATGTTTTTATTTTTGCAGACAGGGTTTCTCTGTGTAGCCCTGGCTGTCCTGAAACTTGTTCTACAGACCAGGCTAGCCTCTATCTCCTGAGCGCCAGGATTAAAGGTGTGTGCCACTGCCTCCAGGATTGGGCACACGTTTATCACAGTAACAGAGAAGTAATTAATACATCAGGTTTGGAGTTGAGCCTGGAACCTACATGTTAACAAGGCACCCCCAGGGTTCCACAATGGGTAGTCAGGTTGGTCCCTAGAACAGGCCCAACCTCTGGAGGTGGGATGTAGGACCCACAGACTCGATGGTTGAGAGTGTCCCCTGGTCCCTAGAACAGGCCCAACCTCTGGAGGTGGGATGTAGGACCCACAGACTCGATGGTTGAGAGCCACTGGCTCACACAGCAGGAGAGTCAGCTGGACACCTGGAGGGGTGGGGACTCACCATCTGGTCGGCCAGCAGCAGCACCGTCTTGAGGCTGAACTTTCGGGAACAGAAGTTGAAGAGGTCCTCAAGACTGGGCCCCAGCAGCTCCATGACCATCACATTGTAGTCACCCTCAGCCCCGCACCACTTGATGGACGGGATCCCCACTGGGCCCAAGGAAAAGAAGCTTGGTCAGGGTCACTCCTCACCCACGTCCTCTACATTGTCTTCTCCCTGCTCTGCACCAGGACAGCCAGCCTCCCCTTCCCTCCTCCCTTGCACCCCCCCACCACATGGCTGCTTCCTGCATCATCTTGTAGAACTTGCTCTCAATGTGGAGCTGCGGGTGCTTTGTTTTCACACATTCCAGCTTGATGGCTACTTCCTCACCAGAGGCAATGTTGGCACCTGCCAGTGTCAGAGGACACAAAGAACTAGGGTCAATCTCAAGCGACCATGTGGTCCTTACCCATTTGAGGTTGTTGTGACTCAGGCAGTAGCTGCTCTCAGGAATGATGACAATTTGGGACTTAGCTGGTGACAACACTGTAGTAATGGCCACCCAATTGCGCACTTCCTAATTTTGATTTCACTGGTCCCAAGTTGGTGATCCTCCTGCCTCAGATGGAGATAACTGCCTTCCACACATATGCCACAGTACACAAAACAAATTAAAATGCAAAAGCAGCCGGGTGTTCGTGGTGCACACCTTTAATCCCAGCACTTGGGAGGCAGAGGCAGGCGGATCTCTGTGAGTTCGAGACCAGCCTGGTCTACAGAGTGAGTTCCAGGACAGACTCCAAAGCCAGAGAAACCCTGTATCGAAAAACAAAAAAACAAAACAAACAAACAAAAAAGCAAAAGCAAACCAGTAACAACAAAAACTAAACACCTATATTAAAATTTTCTCAAAGAGAGAAAGGTATTGTGTGTGTGTGTGTGGGGGGGGGTTCTCAAGGAGATGGCAAGATGGCTCAGGAGGTAAAAGTGATTGCTGCCAAGCCTGATGATCAGAGTTCAATCTCCAGAACCTACTGACTTCCATATACACAAGCTTACACATACAAATAAAGGTAAGGGGAAATGTCAAAGGTCCCTCTCCTTCAAAACCATCCAGAACCCCTCACACTGGCCAAAGCTCCAGAGATAAGGCTGAAAGAAAAAAACAATTCTTATCACCGGCAAACAGCTAGTGGACAGGAAAGATCTGATGGGAAATGGAATGGAGGATATGAGCTGACAGTACCCATGGGGGAGAGTGCAGTCCTGGACACAAAGGACAGCTACAAGTCCCACAATGCTTACATTTCTCACAAGCTCTCTTCCCTACACAGCTGGAAGGTGACTTTCCATGGCCTAGCTGTGACCAGTACCTCTACCTTAGGAGGTTGGCTGACATTCCTTTAATTTTGTTTCTTCCTTAAAGATTTTAATTTTTGCCAGGTGTGGTGGTGCATACCTTCAACCCCAGCACTCTCTGAGGCAGAGGCAAGAGGATGTTTGAGAGTTCTGAGGCCAGCTTGGTCTACATAGCAAGTTCCAGGCCGGCCAAAATTATATAGGAAAACCTTGTCTCAAAAAAAAAAATTTTTTTTTTAAATTATATGTATGTGTTGTAGGTGAGGGGTGGCATAGGGACTTGAGTATAGGTGCTCACAGAGGCCAGAGTATCACATTAGGTTTCCCTAAAGCTGGGATCACATGCAGTTGTGAGCCACCTACTATGGGTGCTGGGAACCGAGAGACAAACTCAGGTACTCTGCAAGAACAGTATGAATCCTTACTTCCCCCCCCCCCCCCCCCCCCCACCCTTTCTTTTTTCCAACAAAGCTCACCTCAGAGCCATCTCTCCAGCCCATCAGGCAGCATCCTTGTATGGTGTAAAGAGCCTGGCCAAGGCTGTCCACTGTCGAGTGTTTGCAATAAGCAAAAGCTTGGAAACCACCCACATGTCCGTCTTTCAGGACTGGCTAAATAAAGAATAGCTGATCCATAACAGAACACAATGGTGAGAGGAGGAAGCTCACTCCATGGAACAGTGCAAAGTCTCCAAGATACAGGAAGTGAAAAAGCAAAGCCCAGACCACGATCCTGTGCTCTTTCGACATGGAAGCATCTGTGCTGGGTTGCAGTCACATGAAGAAACAATGGCTGATTGGGGGGGGGGGGGGGACTTCACAGACACCTTATTATGCATTGCTTCTTGTGTACTTCTGTTGAAATGTAATATGTACACTGCGGGATACAGTCACGGGCGCTGTGAAACTAGTTGTCCACAGGGTTGTACAATCCATTGCACAGTCAATCAGAGAAAATGACCAACATTGCCTCAAATGCCTATGCCTTCTAGTAATTGTGACTACCCCCCCTCCCCATCCCTGCCAATTTCCTTCCCGGAGCCCCTAGGGACCACTTGGCCACTTTCTGCTTATGGACTTGCTTATTTTGGGCATTTCAATGAAATGAAAGCACCCATTATGTGGTCTTCTGTTTCCTTTCATTTAACACATTATTCCAATTTTTGCATATGTACTTTGATTTCTGAGCTACATAAAAGAAAAACCAATTAGATGACTAAATCCAGGGAGCAACTGGAAACTGGCTTGCAAACTACTTTTAAAAAATTTAAAGTTATTATTATTATAATTATATCATTACTATTATTTGTGTGCATGTTGCCCGCACTTATGTATACACCTATGTGGAAACCAGAGGCTGGTGCTGGGAGTTTTCTTCAATCCCTCTCCACCTTACTTTTTTAAGACAAAAAGGCTGGAGAGACAGCTCAGCAGTGAAGAGCGCTGGCTGCTCTTCCAGAGGTCCCTGGTTGGGTTCCCAGTACCTACATGGCGGCTCACAGCCATTTGTAAACTGTTTCAGGGGACCTGGTGCCCTCTGTGGCTTCCTCAAGCACTGCAACAGAGTGCACAGACAGACACCTGTGCAGGCAAGACACCCATACACACAACAAAAGTAAGTAACCATCCAGAACATCTCACTCAACTTGGAGCTTGTCCAATTAGTTAGACTGGCTGATCAGCAAGCCCCGGAGATCCCATCTCTCCAAACCTGCACCCCCAGTGCTGGGATTAAAGGTGTGTGGTGACCAACTGGCTTTTTTTTTTTAAACTGTGTGTGAACAGGGTACAGTGTTGCTCAGGTTCTGATGCTTGTGAGGACCTCAAGCACTTATTTTCCTCCCAGCTCCCCCTAAAGTACTTTTTTGTTTGGTTTGGTTTTTTTGAGACAGGGTTTCTCTGTGTAGCTTTGGAGCCTGTCCTCGAACTAGTTCTGTAGAGCAGGCTGGATTCAAACTCATAGAGATCCACCTGCCTCTGCCTCCCTAGTGCTGGGACTAAGGGCTTGCGCCACAACTGCCTGGCCCCCATAAAGTACTTAGGACATATCAGCAGTCATCAATTCATAAAGCCCACAGTTTTCTGTGGGGCCATAAGGTTATCACACAAAAAGGGAACTGGGATGACCTGGAGTCTTGTGTGTACCCTGTCTTGCCATGAACATCAACAGCAGGAGAATGTAGTGATTTTGAGTGAGTGTGATGGTACACACTTGTAACCCCAGCACTTGGGAGGCCAAGCCTGGTGGAAGCCAGCTTGGGCTTCATATCAAGAGCCTGTCTGTAACAGAGCCAAGCTGCTGGATCAGATCCTAGGTCCTGATCCTGTTACCTGCTGACCACTCGGCCTCATCACCACCACCACCACCACCACCATTATTACTGTATGTGAATGCACTTACACATACGTCTATGCAGAAGCCAGAGGTTGGTGTTGGAAGTTTTCCTCAATTACTCTCTACCATATTTTCTAACACAGAAGGCTGGAGAAATGGCTCAGATCTTCTACTTCTGAGCCCAGGCGCCTCTCCTGCAAACTGCTAGCCAAACTTAGTTTGCTGGGCTGTCTAGGACAGAGGAGCTCAGCAGAGCCCCAGTACATAGCAAGTACTCCACAGTGAGGGCTGATGATCAACCCACCCCAGCCAGAGATGGGATGAAGTGAGATGATTAGGGGCAACAATTCCCCACATGGAATGGAAGGAAGAGAGAGGAAATGGTGCTCTGGGTGAAGGAGCACCTCCCTAGAGAAAAGGCTGCTGAGCTCCTGGGACAGGGACAGGGCTTTGTCAGACACACCAGGGTCACAGAATATGCAAAGGCTTGCTAGGAAGGGTGAAGCTGAGGGCTCTGGTGCAGAGGGTAGCTGAAGAGAGTGACAAAGGTAGACAAGGTAAGAGCTCAGACCTGAGGGGCTTCAATCCTGGCCACCTAGTTGAGGGCCCCAGCCAGTACAGACATGCAGTGAGTATCCCCAATCTCAACAGTCCGACGTTTGGGGTCAGACAACTCTTGCTGCACTGTCAGGGGTTTGACAATATCCTTGACTTCTACCCACCAGAAGCCACCATTACCCCCTCCCCCGCCCCGTATTGTAACAATCAGAAATGTCTTCAGGATTTGCCAAATGCCCTCCAAGAGACAAAAGTCACCTCTCACCAAGAATCACCAGTGTATCAGAAAGAGATGGAGGGGACTTGAGGAGGGAAGGGAGGCCTGGGAGGTCACAGCAGGGTGGCCATACCCAGGCAGAGGGCAGAGATGATCCCTACATGCACTGGTGACTCAGCAGATACACAGGGAACAGAGGCAGGGGCTCATCATCCCTTTTAACTCTGACACTGCCCTGCCAGTGCTACTGTTGTCTCTATTTGACAAAGGGAAAACCCAACACAAATGTTGAATGACCATGCCACACAACTTTGCAGGCCAAGGACCAGGGACCTAAGCTGTTAGGCAAAGCCTCCTGACTGCCCCGTCCCCCCCCCCCATGGTTCCCACCCTTAGATTCCCATCAGGAGGCAGCCAGTCTTTTCTCTGACTTCCCTTAATCCTGCCAACCACTGAGCTACAGTTCAGAGAGGCTAAGTGGCTGGCCTAGGCCAGAATTGGTTGGAACAGAGCCAGGATTCCAAATTTCTCCCGAGCCTCAGCTTCTCTGTGCACTCCAGGTCCCAAGCACACTGGTTCATGGAAGCTGCTGACAGAGGGGCTGTCCTGTTCACCTTCTGTGGGAGTGCTGTACAGAGGGCAGGGCAACCACAGAGGCAAGATGGCTCACTGAGGGACTACATATGCAAAATGACCCACAGTTCCACACAGGAACAAAATGGAGGAACTGATTGGTCCCCAAAACAATCTTGGACATAGAAAAGGTGTGAGCCTGGTTAGCTCCAGATGGACTAGAAACCTAGAAAGAAGCTGCAGGTAGAGAGTGATGAGCAGCCTCTTTAGCTCTCTATGGCCACTCACCTACACAGACACAGAGACTGCGGGAAGGGCTTGCAGAGTTGGTCCGCCCCAGAACCAGCAGCAGCAGAAGCAGCAGCAGCAACTCAACTCCCATGTCAAAAGGCTGAAGGCTGGGCATAGTGGCATGCATGTTTAACCCCACACACAGGGAGGCAGAGGCTGCCGGGTTTCTGAATTTATGGCAGCCAGCCAGAACACAGTGAGACCCTGCCTCAAACAAACAAGACCCACCCCTATAGCCACCTGGTCTGCACCCCTGACAAGAGTTGAGGCACAGCAATCCGCCCCACCTTTTAATAGATCTAGAGAGTTTTCCCAGGATGCACAGCTGACCTTAGACATTAAAGGGAAGAGAACATGGATGGACATGAAGAAGGGCCCAGGGCCTCACAAGCATTTCAGAAACAATGCTCTCATCCCAAGACTTCCTCAAGGTCAATCCTAGAAAGCTAGGTGTGGAAGCCTAGCCTGGCCCCACCTGTAGAGGCCATCTGGAGTCAGGCCCTGGCCCAACACCCTGGTGAGAACGTAGCCAGCACTCTGAACAAAGGGTGCCAGCAAGGCTAGTCAAAGAGGCCCTTCAGCCACCACTGCTCCCACATAGGCAAGATAGGGTCTAGGATGGCACTCATCACACATGCGGTGCTCACACACACATCCCAACATAGGTGCACCCAGTCAAAGCTGGACAGAGGGGCAGCCCTCCTCCCCTTTGACCCCCAGAAGACTTAGATCCTCAGAAAGCGGCAGCTCCCAACAGAGCAGAAGTACAGCACAGGCAGCGGGTTCAAGCAGTGCAGCCGTATCACTTATCTCACAATTCCATCTCAGATGGGGAAGTCAAGGCTAGCAGGGAATCCAGAGTTTACAGCTGGCCAAAGTAAAGACCAAGGGTCAATTTTTTCCAGAGCAAACACAAAGAGTGAATCTGGACCTGGCAGTTAGCATAACAAAGGCAACACTGTAGATAAACAGGAAGTCCTGCCCCCAGGGAGGTAGACCACAGGAAGCAGGGACAGTGGCCTTTCTGAGTGAGCTTGGGTTGCACCTCTCCATCCACAGCTTCCACATCCCTTCTGCTGAAGAGGGGTCAGACACGGCATTGTCTAACAGTAGGTACCAGGTTGTGTATCAGAGCTGCACATATACGCATGCATGCACGCACTCACTCTCACACACAGACACTACACACGCACTCACTCTCACACACAGACACTACACACGCACTCACTCTCACACAGACACAGACACTACACATCCAGGGTCCTCATGCTTAGGCCAGGCCTAGAGAAAGGGGCAGCCCTGGTCACACAGTAAGTGAGGATCACTAAAAACAGGAACCTAGCCTGCCCAGTTCCCAATCCCTTCTCTCTCTTATCCTGCTACGGCAAGGCTTTCCCAGACTAAGTCCCCTTTTCCTTGCTCTCTGCTTCTCTCAAGCCTTCACTGGACATCCACTGTGGATAGGCCACATACTGGGCACTGGAGTGGGGGTTGGGGAGCAGACACAAGCTCACAGAAGCTCCTCCTGACAGGAATGAGGAACCAGAAGCATCTTGATCTCATGTTACTTAGTTTCTAAGCAGAATTACCTCACTACATTGCTATGGCTTAGCCATTTTGCCATAATCTCCAGGGTTCAAGCAATCTTCCTGCCTCAGCCTTCAGAGTAGCTGGTTCTACAGGCACACACCACCACACCCCAAAGAGAAACACCAAGCTGTTTACAGGGCATAGTGAGCTCCCTGATGCCAGGCACAGAAATTGTACTTCATGGTTGTTTTATTTGTGTTCTTCAACAGCGACTGATCATTAGGGGACACTGATGGGGTCCTAGGGCAGCTGCACAAGATGAGGCTGAGGATCTAGGTATGTCTGTCTTCCATGCACTCAGTAGAGCTGTGGTGCCAAGGCCACCCCAGCTAATTTTCTGTAGCAATCCCCAGAAGTCACCTTAGTCACACTGCACCTTCTGCTATCAGAAGTCCTGGGGCCACCTTGAGGGTGACAGTGTTCAGAAAGGGGCCTGCAGGTAAGAGCCAGGAATAGGCATCCCCTGCCTATTGCCTCTGAGGCTAACTGAATGGAAGACTTCATACTCAAAGGGTCAGGGACTCTGTCCCCTGGGGAAGAGAAATCCTACAATAACTAATTAATGACCATAGTGTCCAGACTTGTACATTCTCTCTGCCCAGGACAGAAGTAATTTTCATTCTCTAAGGAGGAAAACACGAGGCAGCTGAGTCCTACTCCTGAGGGCACAGGGGCAGTTCCAAGGATGACCTAGGAGGCTTGCCATCTCACTCTGGCAACTCTAAGACTCCCAACTCCATCTCCACAGTTACCAAGCAAACGCTCCCCTCCAGGCCAATAAGACTCAAAATGGCACCGCGCAGGGCTAGGAAAACAACACTGCAGGAGGATGAGGCTCATTTCTCCCTCACTAGAGGCTGAGATGTCAGAAATCTGCTTTAAAAGACATCAGGGGAAACTCAGATTTCAAAAAGGAAACACGTCCAGAAGACAGGGAGCTCCCAGAGAAATGAGACCCTCCCTGTGTCATCCCAAAGCAGCTCCAGGCTGCATTCCAGAAAGCCACATCTAAGGGAAGGGCCTGTACTTCCTGGGAGCCTCCCCAGAGGTCCATGATAGTAGATGCTGTCTCCATCTACCAGTATCCTTCAGCCAGAAACCAAGTGGTGGGGTTGCCTACCCAGCCAGCGCCTTCCCACGCCCAGTGGAGACCCAGGTCAGCTGCAGCTGGAAATCTGCTAAATATATATATCCTCTGCCATTGCAGCCTACTGAGCTTCCCCCCATCCCGCTGTGAGAGGCATCCCCCCACTACCTGAGCCTCCTTGTGGATCTAGGATGACCCTGGAGGCTTCCAAGCCATGCCACACAACCAGAGCAAAGTTCTGTCCCCAGATCCCCAAATCCCAGACTGTTGTCCTCCTCCTCCTCCTCCTCCTCCTCCTCCTCCTCCCCACCCCCAGAGCTATCAAGGGCCAGCTTTAGCTAGAGGCCCAGGGACTTACCCAAGTAGATGTCTCCAAAGGACCCACTGCCGATCTTCCGGCCCAGGCGGTACTTATTCCCCACGCGGAGCTCCATGTTTCACCCTTGTTGCAGGAGAAACAGAAACAGGTCAGAGATGGGACCTCTGGCACCCGAGGGCCTGGAGCCTTCCCCCACCGGAGGCTAGCCTTCTCCCTCCCACTGTCTGGGAAGCAATCTGGCTTCACTCTACTCAAGGGCAGCCAAGTGTCAGGTAGCCTTCATGCCCACACACCTGGGCAGGGCTGAGGCAGGTTTAGAACAGGCTTCACTAAGTACGGAAAAAGTGGTATCAGAGCCAAGGCCCAGGAGGAAAAAGCCAAGTGGACCCTCCAGTGTGAGCCTCCTCAGAGGGAGTCTGGTTATCATGGACTAAAGCCCTAAAGGAACTTGATCAAGGACAAAGGGATACAGGGAAGAGACAAGAGACCCAAGTCTTGCATCTTGGGCTCACCAGTGAATCTCTACCAACCCTAACAGGCTAAAGGCCAAGTCTTCTATAAGGTGCTTTATCTGCATGCACTCTAGAGGCACCTAAAGGACCCCGGTGAGGTCCTGGGCTCCAGAAGAGCAGGTTCCATGGGAGCAAACTGAAAACTACCAAAGCCAACACCAGCAAGTTCCAACCTCCAAGGGTGAAAAGGGAAGGGAAGGGCCCCACAGAGTCCCATAGTACTGAGACTCCCGAGGGCACAGGGTACCCACCTCTATCCCTGCCCCTGGGCCGCTAGGCTCACACGGGGCTAGGCTGGACTGTTCCAGTAGGCCCCTCACAAGAGGATCTGATCCCCATTCAGAAAGGGAAGGCAAGGTCCCTCATAATGCCTCCTAGGTTCTATTCAGGATGTAGTGAACCGTTTCTAGGCCTCTGCACACATCGCTTTGGGTGGATTCTGACACAAGCTTCCTTGAAGACAAGGAGGGAGGGTCTCCTGGGAGAGGTCCCTGGTACAGAAGATTTGAAGTCACTAGTCCCTGAGGGGCTGACCTGAGCAGCCCCCCATCCTTCCTGATGCCTCAAGCACCAGGTTAACAAAAATTGGGCCACCATGGCAGGACCACTCTGCACTGGCCTGGTAGAGGTCTGGGTACCCATGATCCAGGCCAGAAAAGAGAAGACTCAAAGACTGGGGGCAGTTTGGGTTGCCAGAAGATAGGGAGGCAGGGGAGGGTAAACTATGAAATGGGGAGAAGTGGTCCATGAGACCTTTGCTTGTTTACAAATGAGCTAATGTGAGCAAACAAGAGGGGACTCCTTTTGCAGATAGGAACCCAAGCCTTGAATGGCCTTGCTGCTACCCAGCAACAAGTCAAGGGCAGAATCTCACCTAGGAGCAAACTGGGGTCAGGCTAGCCTACCTGGTGGCCTCCTACCCAGAATTTATTTCACTCCAGGCTTCAGAAGTAAAACCAGAAGGTAAGACAGTAGCTGTGCTGGCTTTCTTGGGGGACCTGACCCTTCCCTGTGCCAAGCCTACCCCCAGCTGCCAGGCCTGGAAAGAAGCCGGGAGACACTCATTAGGGCTCCTTGATCAGCCTAAGAGCCAAAAGGTCCAAGCCAGGAGTGACACCCCAGCCTCGTACTAGTTCCCAGAGAGCCACCACAGTCCTTCTTCCACTAGCTACAAGGAAGTAGCTGCCACTGGGTGCCAGCCAAACTCTGGGCTCTCCATCAAGGCCCTTTGCCCACATGGCTGGCCTGGAATCAGCTAAGTTGCCCTAGTTGCCAACAGCAGGACTGCACATCTTCAGAAAACCCACCAGCCCGCCACCACAGGTTCACACATGGTCCAGTTTTCTAAGTGCACCCGTCAAGGGAAGACAGGAGCAGAGGCTCACACTCGTGATCCCTACGGGAAAGGGGGGGCTGGGTGTGTACTCACAAACATCCCCCCCAGCCGGGTTTCCACCAACGCCAACTCAGAGACCACACATGGCAGCTGGGAAAGCCACAGGTTAGGAAAGAAACATAAATATACCGCATCCTATATTACATAAATACCCACGCCAGGTTATATAAATACCAGTGCCCTCTGTCTGGGTGTCTTACATAAATACACTGCACATGACCCCCCAAGCCCCTCTCCACAGTCTACACAGAAAGGAAGAGGGCTACAAACCATCAACACTGGAGGACCCCACCAACGCCAGGGTCTGCCCACCCTGAAGACCCAGAGCCTTAGAGAGTCTAGCCTGTTCCAACCCTCCTCCACTTAAAAGCCCCCCCACCCGAAAAGAACTTCTTTGGGGGCTTCTTCGGGCAAACAGGTTAGCTTTCCAATTCTTCACTCCCTCTCCCCTAAGGGAGGGATGGTGGGGGGAGGGGACGGTAAACAAAGTTAAAAAAAAAAAAAAAGAAAAAAAGGTGGCCATGAAGAGTCAAAACTTCCCAGCTGGTTAGAAAAATTACAAACCACAACCAGTCGGGCACATAGGCAGTGTCCCCTACACATACCACTCACCTTCCCCAGAGCCAAGACCCCGGTTAATGAACCAGTAAAATAAAAACTGAAGTAATACCCTAAACCTAGGAAAGGTGTCCCAAACACAAGTATTCATCGGAACTGTACCCCTTTCTCTCCAGAACCCCTTCCCAAGGGAAGGTTATGCCAAGAAAATATGTGGGAAAACTCTGGGCAAAGTAGGGGGAGGGGGCAGGCCTAAGTCAGAGCCCTGGCTCTGCCCAAGCACCCAGCTTCTCAGAGGCGTGCAGCACAAGGCTGTCTCACACACCGCAATGAGAATCCAGGCGATAAATAATCCCTCCCTTCTCGCCACAAAGGAGAAAACAAAGCCGGTGGCCCGGGTGACCACGCATCCCATCACTTAGGACCCCCG